CCTCATAAATACTTTGTCCCTTTGCTGTTCTTTATCTCAACCAATAAAATATTTGGGTTCAGACATTTGATTTAGTTTTATCTGTGTTCACTCAATTCCTTGGAGATGTCATTGCTTTTATATTGACTCACAGATTTATATTGAGACCATCTCTCCCCTGACCTCTTCATGCGTGTGTATTTGTGGTCTCTATTGTCTTTGAATGACAACTAAGTACCTCAACAAATGTTTTAAACTGATCTTTTTCATACTGTTCCATTTGCAATCAACTGCACTGATTATCCTGCAAATTCAGGCCAGCAACCTTGGCCTAATTTTACGCTTTGTCTCATACATCATATGCAGTTCAGGAACAGAAGCATGGGTTCTACTTTCACATGACCAATTCTATTTCTCAGTGCTTTTATTGCCAGCCACAGTGGTCTTTGCCTGGATTACCATAATGCTTCCTATTTAGTCTTCCTAGCCCCGCTGTTATCTTCAGTGGTCTTTCTAAAAACCATGACACTTACAATGATCTTTATTTAGGTCATAATAGTTGCTGTCACCCAACATTGATATATTAAGGTTCACTTCTTTTTTTCTTTAATTTTTTTTTTTTTTTTTTTTTTTTTTTTTTTTGTGACGCGGTCTCCCTGTTTAGCCCTGACTGACCTGAAACCCACTATGTAGACCAGGCTGGCCTCAGACTTCATAGGGATCCACCTGCCTCTGCCTCCAAGTGCTAGGATTAATTGTGTATGCTACCACAATCAGTCTAGGCTTCACTCTTGATCTTGTATATTTTATAGATTTAAAGAGAGGTAGAATGACATGTATCCATAAATTACGTTATGCAGAGTATTTTACTGCCCCAAATATCCCCTGTGCTCTTCATGTTCCCATAGTTTTGCCTTCTCCAGGTGTCATTTTGTTAGAAGTTAGACTTTGTGAGCCTTCCCCCTTGCCTGAACACCCATGGTTTCTTTGGAGCATGTCCTGGAACTTGCTTTGTAGACCAAGCTGGTTTTGAACTCACAGAGATCTATCTGCCTGCCTCTGCTTCATGAGTGCTGGGATTAAAGGAATGAGCCAGTGGCCGGCTCCTTGGGAGCTGTTTTAAATTTGATAACTTGTTTCATTTTAGAACTGAGTTAATATTCCATTGTCTGGATGAAGTAGTTTATCCCTATCCTCACTGGAAGATGTCTCCCTGCTTCTAAGTTTAGGCAATTATAAATATAGTTATTATAGATATTTACATGCCTGTTTTTTATGTTAAAATAATTTTTCAGTCATCTGGGGTGAGGGGAAAAAAGGGTTAAAACCCCGCTGGATTAGGTGGTTAGAGTATGCTTAGTTTTAGTTTTTAAGAAACTGTCTTCAAAAGTGGTAATACATTTTTTACCATTGGCATGGACTTGAGAGTTCCTGTTGCTCTGCATCTTCCATGTTATTCATAATTTGTTCATTCCAGTAGCTATGTAGTGATGTTGGGGTCTTTGTTTTATTAAGACAAGGTCTCACTGTGTATCCCAGGCTGGCCTCAAGTTCAAGATTCAGTCTTCCTGACTTTAGCCTTCCCAAGTGTTGGGATTATTAGCATAAGCCACCATGCCCAGTTGTTGGCATGTTGTCTGTCTGTCTCTTTGTCCCAGTTCTAAATCAACATGATCTTTTCATGTGCTTATTTGCAGTTTGTATATCTCCTTTGTTGTGATGTCTATTCAGGTCTTTCACTCATGTTTTTCTTACTGAGGTAAGCATTTGTATATTTTGGATAATAGTCTATTCTTTGTAACCCTGGCTGTCTTGGAACTCAGTTTCTAGACTAGGTTGGCCTTGAACTCACAGGAATCCATCTGCCTTTGTCTTCCAAGTTCTGAGATTATGATTCCTGGTTATTATCAAATATATGTTAGTTATTTTCTCCCAATCTTTGGCTTGTCTTGATGTCTTTCACCAATTCTTTCCTGCATGGATTGTACTTTTGGGACAGTACTTAAGGTTACCACTGTACTCAAGATCATCTGATTTTTCTTTTTAAAATTTTAGGAGTTAATAGTTTTATATTTTATACTTAAGTCTGTAACAATCTTATAATCACTACTTGTTTTAAGGTGACTTTCTTTTGCTCCATCTTTTGAATTTCCTACATAGACAGACATGTCATGTTATCCTCATTCTCAATGTTTTTCTCTTTCCTCCCAGTCAACATATCCTTTATTTTTCTTGCCTAATTGTATTATCTAAGCTTCTGGTACAATGTTGAAAGAGATGATGAGAGAAGACATTCTTATTGTCCCTCATTCTGGCATGGAGGCCTTGAGTTTGTCTATGTGATATCATGTCCATTTTCTTCTTTAACCTATTGGTATGATGACCACATCAAGCAGTTTTCAAAAAGCCGTGAAAGACCCATGGAGGGCGTGGACCCTCACGCCCCGACTCAGGAAAGGCACCCCCCCCCCCAATCACTCACTCATGAGAAACGGTCTTGATGCAAAAGCATGAGGTCTTTTATATTTCAGTGCACTGGGGTCCACAACCATACTCCACATGGGGGTGTGTGTGTGTGTGTGTTAGTGTGTTATGCATCCAGGTGCCTGTGGAATGAGGGCACTGGATCCCCTGGAACTAGAGTTGTGAGCCATTTGAAGTGGATAATGGGCACTAAAACTTATGTCTTCTACAATTACTCGTGTTTTTAATCTCTAAGCCATCTCTTCAGCCCCATTATCTTTTCAAAGAGCCTGCTTTATCTTTGATTAACACCGCTATTTGTTTCCTTGTTTTAGTTTTTAATCTCCACTTACCTTTTCTATTTCTTTTGCTTAATTTTAGTGAATTAGCAGATTAATTACATAATTAGCTAATAGGTGGCTGCCTAAGCAGTCATCCTGTTTTCCTTTCCCTAGCAGCTGGACCTATCATCATCCAATTACTCTTTTTGTTTGTTTCTTAAGATGGAAGCTTCAAGGTTACTGATTGTTACAATTTCATCTACCATATGCACTGAGTGCCATGAATATCTCTAAGCAACACTTTCACTTCATCCTGTGAAATTTCATAAATAACTGTATTTCCATCATTTACACCCTCTCCTGCTCCTCAAACTCCCTTGCTACCCCCTTGAAATTCATGGCCTGTTTATAATTACTGTCACACACACACACACACACACACACACACACACACACACACAGAGAGAGAGAGAGAGAGAGAGAGAGAGAGAGAGGAGAGAAAATATGTGTTTAGGGTTGACCGATTTGAATTAGCTATCAATTGCTTGTAGCTGTAGGTGTTGGGTCTTTTGAGACTTCCCCCAACCATGTTGCAATGTTATCTGATGATATCATTATTTAGGCAAACTCATTGTTAAGACTTCATGGGTACAAGACTCTCATAGCAGATCTCCAATTTTCAGCTCTTAAAACCTTACCATCTTCTCTTTGTGCCATTCTCAGTTTATCCTACAAATTCAGGAAAGTTGCGTTTTCCTTCATTTCAAAATGTATTTCCAGCTATCTTCTGTTCCTTATTTGTTTGATTCCTTGGTGATCTAATTTAAGATGTCTTTTAGAATTGGTAAGATGATTGTCTTAGTATCTTTTTCTGTTGATGTCATTAAAATACCTTGATAAAAGCAACTCAAGGGAGAAAGAAAGATTTTATTTCAGCTTACAGTTTAAGGGCACAGTCCACCAAGGTGCCAGACATCTTAAGCAGCTGGTCCTATCATTCACAGGAACAGAGAGCAATAATTGCATTGCTGCTGCTCAGCTCCCTTTCTCCATGCATATAGTCCAATATCCTTGCCAAGGAAAGGCCATCCACAGTGGGCATCAATGAACACAATCAACTTCCCACGGCCATGTGCTGAGGCCTCAGGTGATTTCTGGATTCTGTCAAGTTGATAATTGACACCATCACAGCTGTTTTTTTATAGCCTTAAATGTGAGTTTGAGAGTGCCATCTGGTGGCCATGCACATGCCTTCTCTCCAGTTTACTGATGGTGCTCAAGAATTCATTAAGTTAAACTGCTCATGTTTGGTTGTTGCAGGGGATATATACTTCTAGATAGCTCCATGTCTTTTGTCTTCTACTTGCTATGCATTTAAAGTTCAGTTGTTTCCTCAAATATTATTCCTATGATTTGAATGTTTGTGTGCCCCATAAAACTTAGGTTCAAATTTAATCCTCCCTGATAAAATTAAGAGGTCACCCTTAAGAAGGGTGACAAGTTGTCCTTCAGTCATTCAAGTCTAAAGATTTAAGATACTCTCCTAGGAGTGGACATCAGGCCTGAAGCTGGCATAGAAGAACCTCCTGGTAGCCTGAGTTTTCAGTGTCTTCATCTGGTCTTTATAAATGATCCAGTGTCAGATCTTTTGTTAAAACAGCCAATTGATTGAGACAATTTCTTAAAACCTGTTGCTTTTATAAATTGTGGGTTTTTTGGGTTTTGTTTGTTTGTTTTTCCTGTACTCTTGTGTCTGGGAGCAGATTGAACTTTATTCTGTTTGGGGTAGGTTTTCTTTCTTTCACTAACTTGTTTAAAATATATTACTTCTTCCCTCCTTTGGTCTGCACTCCCTACCTCCCTTCCTTTCTTCCCACTTCAGGATTATTTAGTGTGCTGTTCCAAAGAGCTCACCACATGCTTTTCATGTGGTGATAGAGGAGAGAGGACTATGCTCATTTTACAGCTAAGGAAGAAAGGCTTTTATTTTTTAATGAAGACAGAAAAGGTAGAGATTGTATATGGTGGATGTCCTTGCACTCTGCCATGAGAATTTGGGGTTCCCTTCATTCTTGTGCCATGCTGTGCTTAGGAGTTAGCTCATTGTCAACCATGAAGAAAAGAGGTTTTTATGCAGGTTTATTCAAGTTAATCCATTAAAATTTTGAGTCGATGGTGTGTCCTCTATATAAGGACTGTAGATTGGAGTTCTTTTTATAATCAAGCTAACATGCCTTTTTAAAATTTGCTGACACACTTTCTGCTTTCATTCTGTAGACTTATAATGGTCTTCAGTTGCCGAAGAAGGTTGTGGATGCCAAAAGAAAGGTAACCAGTTTCTCCAGTGCATTTGGATGCCTCTAACAGTACACCTTGGCTGGCTGTAGACATGGCAGACATGACCAGCTACAAGGATGCTGCCTCCAGTCGACACCTGAGGTTTAAGTTACAGAGCCTAAGCCGCCGCCTTGATGAGTTGGAGGAAGCCACAAAAAACCTCCAGAAAGCTGAGGATGAGCTCCTGGACCTCCAGGAGAAGGTGATCCAGGCGGAGGGCAGCAACTCTAGCATGCTGGCTGAGATTGAGGTGCTTCGACAGCGGGTACTGAAGATTGAAGGTAAAGATGAGGAAATCAAGAGAGCAGAGGACCTGTGTCATATGATGAAGGAGAAACTTGAAGAGGAGGAAAACCTTACCCGAGAGCTGAAATCTGAGATTGAGTGGCTTCAGAAGCGAATGGCTGATTTAGAGAAGCTAGAAGAGGCCTTGAGCAGGAGCAAGAATGAATGCTCCCAGCTTTGTTTGAGCCTGAATGAAGAGAGAAATCTGACCAAGAAAATCTCTTCTGAGTTGGAAATGCTTAGAGTCAAAGTGAAAGAACTGGAATCTTCGGAGGACCGCTTAGATAAAACTGAGCAGACTTTAGTATCAGAATTAGAAAAGCTAAAATCATTAACCCTGAGTTTTGTAAATGAGAGAAAATACTTGAATGAAAAGGAGAAAGAAAATGAGAAATTAATAAAAGAGCTTACTCAAAAACTGGAGCAGAACAAGAAAATGAGCCGAGATCACACGAGGAATGCTTCTACCCTTTTGGAGAGGAATGACCTGCGAATTGAGGATGGCATCTCCACACTGCCTTCCAAAGAATCAAGAAGGAAGGGCAGTCTGGACTACTTAAAGCAGGTTGAGAATGAAACCAGAGACAAATCAGAAAATGAAAAGAACCGGAACCAGGAGGACAACAAAGTCAGAGACCTCAACCAAGAGATTCAGAAACTTAAGACTCAAATCAAACACTTTGAATCTTTGGAAGAGGAACTTAAGAAAATGAGGGCTAAAAACAATGACCTTCAGGATAATTACCTAACTGAACTGAATAAAAACAAAATCTTAGCTAGCCAGTTAGAGGAGATAAAGCTACAAGTCAAGAAACAGAAAGATTTAGGAAATGGGGATATAGAAGGGGAAGATGCTTTCCTATTGGGCAGAGGCAGGCACGAGAGGACTAAGCTCAGAGGTCATGGGGTTGAGGCATCCATGTCAAGGCACATACCCCGGGAACTGTCTCCTCAACATAAGCGGGAAAGGATCCGGAATAGGGAGTTTGCTCTTAATAATGAAAATTATTCTCTAAGCAACAAGCAGGCTTCTTCTATTTTTACCAACAGAAGGGCAGCAAAAACTTCCAACATGGGAGTGGGTGCAGACAATGGACCTCAGGAGACAAAGAGAGCTGAAGACCGATTTGTACCTGGGTCTTCTCAGAGTGAAGGGAAAAAGTGTAGGGAGCAGCCATCAGTGCTCAGCCGTTACCCACCAGCTGCCCAGGAGCATAGTAAAGTTTGGAAGGGAACTCCCAAGCCAGGCCCTGAGAGTGGACTTAAGGGGAAAGTAGAAAAGACAACTCGAACATTTAGTGACTCCACCCATGGACCTGTTCCCAATGATACAATGGGTAGAGGCGATAAGACTTCTGAGATCTCTGAGGCCCTCTATGGCAAGAGAGCGCAGGTACCTGGAAATGGAAGTCAAGTAACTCAGGCTGCAGATTCTGGTTGTTCTAAGGCCACTGGAGCTCTGTCCTCATCTCGAAGAGCCTCCTCAGAAGGGATTTCTAAAGGCAAAAGGGCTGCTAATGGCCTGGAGGCTGATGCCAATTTCCCAAGTTCTAAATCTCCTATTTTATCAAAGTATCCATATAGTTCAAGAAGCCAAGAAAATATCCCTCAGGGCTTTTCAGTGCCAAATAAAGAAGGACTTGACCAGTCTGTAGCAGTTGTGATGGAAGACAGCCGTCAGCATGAAGCCCTAAGGTGTCGTGTCATTAAATCCAGTGGCAAAGAGAAGCCAGACTCAGATGATGACTTGGACATAGAATCTCTTGTTACTGCCAAGTTGGTAAACACAACTATCACGCCAGAGCCAGAGCCCAAACAACAGCCAAACTCTAGGGAAAAGGTCAAGTCCCGAGGAGGACCTAGAACTGCCCTATTTGAAAATGATAAAAATGCTGCAATAGAAAATGAGTCAGTGAAAGCTACCAGAGCTTCCTCCAGTGCTGCTGTTGAATTCCCAGATGCCAATGGTGCTGGGGTAAAAAACCAAAGGCCCTTCAGCCCCAGAGAGGCCCTGCGATCTAGAGCAATCATAAAACCTGTTATCATTGATAAGGATGTGAAAAAAATCATGGGAGGGTCTGGGACTGAGGTTGTATTGGAAAAGCAGAGATCCACCTCTAAACCTGTGCCAAGCAAAGTGACAAGCAGCATCACCATCTACCCCTCTGAAAGCAGTGGCCCTAGAGCTGTCCAAGGAGAGGCCCCAAGGGAAAGGCATACCTCCACCAGCAACATCCAGGTGGGGCATCCAGAGCTCACAGCAGGTAGCAACCATGTCAACTCTCCCCTTGAGCTCTCTATTCATAAACATGATATCACCTTGCAGCTCACAGAAGCTGAAAGAATGGGAGATGGGTCTCTAAAGAATAGATCGGAGACAGTGGTCTCTCGGAGCAGCATTCTAATCAAGCCATCTGATTCTGTGGAGAGGAACAGTCATGCCCCCCAAGCGGAGACAATCAGGTGGAAAAGTCATAGTGCCTCTTCAGAGGTGGGCTCTTCTGACACCAGACATGTCACTGTGAGGAATGCCTGGAAGAGTAAGCGAGACTTGAAATGTTCAGAAGACACCCCAGCTCCAGTAGGTAGGCACTTAGAATCTACCAATGCCTACACACAGAGGTCTTCCACAGACTTCTTAGAGCTTGAACAGCCTAGGCTCCTCCCTTCTGAACAGGGCACTCGAAAGGTAGGAGATGCAGGGGATGCTCCTGAACTCTCCTCTAGAAGGACCCAAAGTAGCCTCACCGCAGCAGAGGTTCTCACCCGGAGGAATCGTATAGGAGATGCCATCACTGCCGCCTCCTGGAACCACACGGCAAGCATGGTGAGTCTCACTTTCCTTCCCATTCTGTTTCCCCTCAGCCTTGATCTGTTCAGCCTAGGATTTAGGGAACCCAGAATGCTGGGAAATACTGAGTCTCACATAGGCTTGGCAAAAAGCAGCATGACTTCCAGAACCCTTCATCTAGTTTGTCTTCATTTTCCTTTCACACGGAAGGGGAGCAAACAGAAAGTGGCTTTGTTTCCAGAGCAGTGAACAGAAAGCTCTTGGGTACCTGTGGGGTGTCAATGAACATGTTCTTCCTGTCCTGCCTCAGTTGGTGAGCAGGTCTCTGTGGGCAGCCTACAGATAAGGAGAGTGAGGGCCTACCCTGGGCCTACTTTATAAGTGTTATTTTCTTTTGTCCCAGATAGGCCTACCCCATTGTATTTTCTGTGTGAGTGCTTCTATATGACTCATTTAAAGGCAGATGAACCCACAATCAACTGACTTGAGACCAATGTGTTAGAACAGAACTTGGAGAAGGCCCCAGGGATGTCCTGAACCTGGATCCGTTGACCATTAAAATATCTTGCTTCTAGACACATAGTACCTTTTAAAATTCCTTTTTTTTGGGGGGGTGGGGTGGGGGGAGACAGGGTTTCTCTGTGTAGCTTTGGAGCATGGCCTGGCACTCACTCTGTAGACAAGGCTGGCCTCAAACTCAGAGATCCACCTGCCTCTGCCTCCTGAGTGCTGGGATTAAAGGCATGGGCCACCATTGCCCGGCAGGATTAGATTTATTGTGTATGGGTGTTTTGTTTACATGTGTGTCTGTGTACCAAGTCTGTGCCTGGTACCAACCACACAAGCCAGGAGTGTCAGACACCCTGTGACTAGAATTACAGATGGTTGTGAGCTGCCATGTGGATGTTAGGAATTGAACCTATATCTCTGGAAGCATAAGCAGTGCTCTTAACCATTGAGCCATCTCTCCAGCCTATGCTAGTGCTTTTTAAAAAGGTAGGCAACTGTGGGTTAACTGGACCAGCGTGTCAATCTTTTAGGTTGACATTTGGCTTCACCCCATATCCCTTAAAACAGTCCAGTGAACAATATCGTCTTCGCTTTTCACATCTGAGTAGCAAAGATGAAGGTCTTAGACAAGGCACCTTATTCGTCATCCAGATGAGAAAACCAAAGTGCAAGTTGGAACCTTAGGAATGCCTCTCTACCATGATCACCTGCCTTTTCTGATCATATTGACAAGGCAGAATTCCAAGAGTGGGGAGAAAGATGCTATCTCAGGTCTTAAAGATTTGCCTGAGTTTCCAGGGAGACAGAAGTCAAGGGACAGAATGATATAAGAGGAAAATGTGAATTTTTTCATAGATCATGCATAGGAAATAAAGACCTAACTTTCTCTTTAGCATACTCCAGCCATGCAGCAAGGAAATTGGCTTTCACACATACCTCTTGGGAGTACTTGCTCCCATAATGCTGTTCTAGGCTCTGACCTATAATGGGGTCTGTTCAGTTATGAACCTCTTGGTTTCCTCAGTTATTTCCAAGGAGTTTTATACTGACTTGAGCTGTGTTCTCCTCTCCCCCAAATGTCTTTGCAGTTTACTGTGTAGTATGTATCTATTCCAGTTACAGGTCCGAGAGCTTACCAGGGTGGAAGGTTAGGTTGTCTCATTTCCCTGTACTATCTCTATAGCTCACTTTTTATTTTTGTTACTCACTGGCACAGGAGGAAGGGGAGGATGGCACATCTGTTACCAGCAGACGAGTGCACAACGCTCTGGAACATTCTGAACTGCCCGGGAAGCAGGGGTTGCCAGAGCCTGGAGTCTGGACTGAGGAGCAGCTAGAGCCAGCCAGGCCTTATGCTGAGGAAGACTGAGCCAGCTAGGTGAAAGTCTGCTGTTTCTTCCCTCCTTCTGCTTCTCAGCTCCTCCCCTTTCCTGGCCTGTGAAGGATCCAAGGCCAGTTAATCAGGCTAGACACAAGGCCTTGGCTGGAGACTAGAGAGCCAGGCTATGGCTCAGGTAATTTTTGCCAGTTGCCTAGTAGGATCAGAGACTACAAACCAGTCACTCAGGCCAGCCTTCCTGATGCATGAGTAGTCCTCTCTCCTATGCCTGTCCCCAAGGTAGCATCGAGCACTCTCAGACCCCCAAACTGGAAGTGATAGAAACCCACCACCATATAGAGGCAGCCAAAAGCTCTCTGTGCTCCTTGGTGAGCTGTTTGTGTATCAAAGGCCAGCCCTTCTCGCTGTGTACTTGATGCCGATGCCCCACCATATCTACTTGGCTCCTTCTTTGTCCTAAGGGATCCCCCTGGAAACCGTCAGCCATCATTTCCATCTGGAGGACTTACATTCCTGTCTTTGAGTTCTTGAGAATTTGGAAACAGAAGAAGAGTCTGTGCTGTTGCCCCTAAGTAATTATGGGACCACCCTTTTGGCTAACCAGTTTCGTGGAGACAGAGCATGACACCAAGTGGAATGACACCATCCTCCCACTCCAGCACTTGGCTCACCTTCCAAAGGCATCAGAAACAGACAGATCTCATGCATCTCCTTTCCTGGGCACCAACATTGCTGCTGGTATCATCTCTGTTCTCCCCAGGGCCTGGAAACTTCAGCTGACTTCATCACTCTCATCTTGGGAAAAATCTTAGACTGAGCTGGCAGACCCAGCATACCCTGCCTTCTAGGAAGTGCCCAGCAAATGGGAAAACAAACAAGAATAATTGAATTCCTTTAGTCACTCCACAAGCAATAGCTCCATGAAAGGCATGGACTGACTGCTCTCTCCCATTCCTCTTCCATCCTGTGGAGGAGGCCTCGCACTTTACCATGCTGACTGCTAATGCACCATTCCCACAAAAGCAAGCCCTTGGTATCTACGAATAGATCATTATTTCAGTAATTTCATTGGAGGAAAGCCAATACCTGCCTGTTGAGGGCCTCAGATTTATGCAGTTCAAAGTGCATTAAGCCTTTTAGGAAGGTGGATAAATAAAAAAAAACTTTCATCTCCTTATATCAACCACATGGGGAAGTTAAGAACTGCTTGCTTGTCACTGAGTTTTTTGAAGCATTCTTTCAGTTCACAGGGATCCTCCACGGCTACCTATGTAGTGGATGTCATTGCCTTATTATACTGGGAGTCTGGAAAGCCACTTTTCCCCATCCCTCCTAGCTTTGTCACTCCTTATTTGTGACCTTTTGGCAAGTCATTGTCTTCTTGGAGCCACAGTTTCCCCTATTTCTAAAAATGACTTCTTTGTTGGTTATTCATTTGTTGCTTACATGTGAGTATACACGTGCATGCTGGGGTTGGACATAGGATATGGTGTGCTAGGCAAATGTTCTGCCACTGCTGCTTCACAGCTAGCTTAGAATGAGTTCTTTGGATTGGATGACCTCTAAGGCCTTAACTTTGGTATTTCAAATTTGTTTTCATCCCTTGGTGTGAGCTGACTCTTGCTTTTGAAGGTGGTGTTCACAGGAATCTAGGGAATGTGTTTATGCCTTCAGTTGTCTTCCAGGTCTTATACTTTCTCCTTTCCTCATGTTTCTGTCATGGGGATGAGCTCAGAGAACTCTGTAAGGCCTGTCTTCAGTCTGAGGTGAAAGGATTAGATTGGGTGGTCTCAGGTCTATATGGCACAGGTGTTCCCCAGTGCCATGTTTCCTGGCTTTCAAGCTAGGTGCTTTCTATAACACAAGTTTGATTGATTCCTGTTTCCGTGCCTCTTCCTGTGAATTTCCTGGACAGGGAAGACTCAGGACATCCTCAGGAGGACTGAGTAGTCTCCTCCACCCTTACTCAGCACACACACACTGGCACTTATCTGCCCTTGTCTGCATCAGACTCAGCCATCCTGCCAGGGTGTGGGGAGATCTACTGTGTTTTTTTTTTGTTTGTTTTTGTTTTTTGTTTTTTGTTTTTTTTTGTTGTTGTTGTTTTCAAATCCCCAGGGACAGGAACAACTTGCTAACACTTCTGTTTGAATGGAGTTTTGCTAACCTGAGGTCATTGTCATGTGTCTTGCCTCCACATCCCAACTTGATGTACAACTCTAGGGTAGTGTTTTCAAGTTCTGTTCCTGCTGCTGCTTTTGGGTCACTGGCCAGATACTCCTTCATTCAAAGCTGCAACCTCTCTCACTCACATTCTTCTGTACCAGTTGGCAGCCCTGAGAGTTCAAAGGAAACAGAACTCTGTGGTAGTCCACTGAAGAGTATAGGAAATTAAGTCTGTGGCTCTTCTCTACTGATAGACACAGGGGCACCAAACCCTGCCTCAAAAGATCTCGACAATAATTTTTGTCTTTGGGTGTCGAGCCCTGGATTCTGGTGCTGTAGCTCCTGGTGCCAAAGTCTGGATCTTTCCACATTTTAGCAGTACCAATACCTTCTGCTATCTAACATGTTCTGTGGAATAGGAACAGCGATGGGCTGCCATTTTGAAAATCTGAGTGCAATAGCATTTGATTGTAACAGTTATGTCAGGATATTATTTCTTTAATCTGCACACTTTTGTAGAACAGCTATAAAGTAGATATATTTTTAAATTGCAGACAACATTTATCCTAAGAAAGTGAAGTTTGGAGGGTTTGGTTCCTCTGGGCTTTACATGAATGAACAGGCTGGCTCTGGTTCCAAAGTCAGAAGGCACATTTCTGGGGAAAAAAAAAAAACCAAGATGTACCTTTGGGTCCAAGCTGGATGCTAGAGGAAACCTCCAAATAGGAGACCCATAGTCAAACTGTTGTCTAATCAAGCCAAATATTCCTTTAGTCCCCATAAACAGACTCACTTTTATGACAAGTGCTTCTCAGTAGTCTGGGTAGATGGCCAGCAGGTGTTTATCAGAGAATTCTGAGGAACCTATTTCTAGAACTGCCTGGAGCTGGATCCACCTGCTCTGTTACCTGCCACTTGGGTACTGGAAGTCAGAAAAGGCTGCAGGGTGGCAGGCAGGAAGCTGTGCCAGGTCTGTTTCTGTGGCAGTGAAATAGTTCAGAGTACGAGTTAAAGGGATTTGTGTGGGGCCAAGGCTACAGGCAAGTTTGCACACCAGTCATCCTTCATGCAGCAGGAGCCGGTGCCTGGAGGAATAGTGGACATCTTGTCCTGGGCAGTGTTAGTTGTTAGATTTAGTGGGTCAGTAAAGGAGCAGGGACACAGAGGCTAACCCCCAGCTGCTTCTGTTGGCATGGGTTTCTTCTCTGACAAAGACTGCTTTGCAAGAGCTGCTTTTTAGGGATTATCTTTTGAACACCCTGAATAGGGAACAGGGTTCTCAACACCTCGACCAAGGTCATAGGAAAGAGGTCCTATTTTTCTTGCTGCTTCACAGCTCAGAACATGTATTGAATGGAATGTATTTTTAAGAGAATAAAGTCTATTTTTTTGTATTTTAAAGATTGGGAGGGCTAGGAAGATGGCCCTTAAATAAACTTAGCATGATAGGCCCTTTGCTGGGGCCTCAGCTATTGGTCCATATCCACTTGCCTAGGCAGGTGGCTCTGGCTTCTCCTCTGCCCCTTGGAGTCTAGGTGCAGCAGCTTCTACATTCCTGCTCCAAGTATGGGACCAGAGAGGCCAGAACCTGCCTCTGGAAAGCAGGGCACAGCCACGGGCAGTGGCTCAGGGCTCCTTGGGTGCATGTGTATAGTTGAAGCTGCCTGTCTGCATGTGTCCTTAGGCTGTAATGCTCTGTTGGCTCTGCAGCACAATATAACCAATAAAGCTCCCGTTTCCATATGCTCCTTTGAGTCAATGACAATTTTGTCAATATAATCCTGGGAACAGTGGTTCTCTCTGAATTGGTGTTGCTGGTATGGAGTTTCACAAATTTAGGTAAAATGCCTAGCTAATAATTTATGCTGTAAAAGTGAACCAGAGTTAAAACCAGCAGCTATCTCTGCTCTGTTTTCCTTTTAGGAGGCTTATCACACACCTTTAATAGCAGCAGAGGCTGAAGGATCCATCTCCTGTGAGTTCCAGGACAACTAGGGCTACACAAACAGCATCTTTTTGACAGTGTGTGTGTACCCTTGGCTGTCCTAGAACAGAGGAGACTTCAAAGGCACTATAAGAAGAGTTTTGAGATGGGAAATTAGACTTGGACTGTAAGTACAACGGTTCAACTACAAGGTGCTTATTACTCCATGCAACACAGACAGGCACTGGTACGTGAAAAGATAGAAACATTCCCTTGGAGCCTCCAGTTTAATAGACTGCCCTTAGGAATTATAATGGGGAAGGGGGCAGTGGTTAAGAGCACCGCCTATTTTTCCAGAGGTCAATTCCTAGCAACCAAACAGTAGCTCACAACAATGAGATCTGGTACCCTCTTCTGGCATTCAGGTATACATGCAGGAAGAACACTGCATACATAGTAATAGCTTTAAAAAAAAAAAAAATGTATGGAGCCATCTCTCTCCAGCTCCATAGTTTTTAAGTACAATGGACCCCAGTTTGGTTCTTAGAACCAGCATGGAGGCTCACAGACATATAGGCATGTATATATAATACACATACGTCATACATGTAGGCAAAAACTAGAACCTTAAAGAAGAACTGGAGAACATAGGTGTGTGCCGCCATGCCTGCAAAAGTTACCTTTTTTTAAGGAGACATATGATAATAGAAATATCTATTTCATTGGGTGGTGGTGCACGCCTTTAATCCCAGCACTTGGTGGGGGGCGCAGAGACAGGTGGATCTCTGTGAGTTCGAGGCCAGCTTGGTCTACAGAGCGAGTTCCAGGACAGGCTCCAAAGCAATACAGAGAAACTCTGTCTTGGGACCACCACTCCCAACCCTGGCCAAAAAAAAAAAAAAAAAACTGTCAGTAGGAGCTCTTGGACCTGACCAAACCATTTGTCTGCCTCCTTAATGCAATATAGAGAATATATATATACTATTGTTAAAGGTAGGTAAGAGCAACACTTGTGTATTATCTACATATATATGAAGCTTTAATCCAAAAGATCAAACTAATTTTATATGAGGCTAGAGATGGCCCAGTAGTTTAAAACAAACAAACAAAAAATACTGCTATTGCAGAGTGCCTGAATTTAGTTCTGAGCACATACATGGCCTCTGGCCATCATGATCACCTACTTCAATGCACATAAATTAAAAATAAACCATTATATAAAATTATTTTAAACTTTTATTCTCAAAATATATTAAAAAAAAAAAAAAAGCCAAACTCCAAGACTAAGGAGGTTATCTCACAGCACTTGCTTGTCTTGGTCTTTATGGAGACATAATTCCAAATTCCTGGGTAAGTTCCTCTCTGTGCTGTCAGTCAAAGGAGCCAGCCTCTGATGTCAAACTAGGAGTCCTGCAGTTGATGACATAGGAGTTTCTAGTAGGATCAAGTATTGCTAGAAGAGCTTGCTTACATGGCAGATCTGTCCATTGGACCTCTGTTTTCAGAACCATCTGTCTCACATGCTTGGAGACTGCTGTGCAGGGACACCTGATGTGGCCTGACGAGGCAAAGTGTACATGGCTCCCAAAAACTGGTCTGCAATCCTTCCTGCTTCTCGAAGCCCACTCAGCAGAGCACCATGGACTGTAGCTGGGTAGTTCCGGATTGTATGTTCTCCAGCAAAGAAGAGTCTTGGGATGGGCTTGGGGGGTGGGGGAGAGATAATCAACAATAGTGTCTTAATTCCCAAATTCCTGTTTAATTTCACGTAGTATCTACTGATGATATCCTAAACTCTGAGCCACACGGAGGAGAGCCTTCTTAAGCAGGAATGTGTTTGAGAGCAGACACCAAACCTTTGGGTTGTGATAATGAATACTCTGGAACAAGGTCTAGCATAGTCTACATAAGCTAGGATCGACAAGGCCCTAGTGACTCAGACCTCTGCAACCCTATAAGATGCCATAAAATTAGGTGCAATTAAAAATAGGGTTTAAAAAAAAAAAAAAAAAAAAAAAAAAACAAGCTTGTATGCCCATGGAAGTAGAAGAGGGTGTGGTGTTACAGGAGCCTGTGAGCCATCCAGTGTCAGTGCTGGAGATTGAACTCAGGTCTTCTGAAGAGCAGCAGTCTTTCCAGTCCCCAAATAGGGCTTTTAAAGGGGACAAAGCCAAGCAAGAAGAGAATTTACTGACTTAGATGTAATTCTGGACTCTTACCCTTAAAATCTAGGCTGCTTGCATTTACAAAAACCCCAGCTATGAGAAATAGTACTTTATTCTCAAAGTATCTAAGGACAAGAATGACTGAAGTCTAAAGTAGCCAGAGAGTACATTTCTACCCTGAGCTCTTGATCTTTCCCCAAATAGGCCCAGACACAGATTTCTTTCTAGTTCCTCACCTGTGGGGCACCTGGAATTGAGGGGCCAGGAGTGATTGGCTGAGCCATTAAATCATAGTCATTTCCAGAAGATCCTGCAGCCACATAGGAATAGGAACCTCGGGCCCAAGGATCAGCACGCCAGCGGGACACCACAGTCTCCTTGGGCTAGATACAAGAGAAGCATGAATATTACTGATGGTGGGACAAAGCAGCCATTACTGAAAAGTAGGCAGGACCCAGGTAACAGACAAAATGAGGGAACCAGGTCGATGGATGCTGATGCTTTGGATGCAGACACAAGAGAATCCATGTTGCCTCCTCTATGACAATCAGCACTTGACCTTTTTCATAAATTCACATAATGGCATTAATTCACCTTAAATCTCACAAGAGGCTAAAGTATTGCAGTTGGCTTGAAAAATCATAAGCTATAAAGAAATTCTCATACAACTCCCCAATGTAGTCACTGAATTCACTTGCTTGTGATGTGACCCCACATACAGAAGGGAGAAACTCAGCTAGCTAGCAGCTGCATTCTCTGGGTCATGTCCTTAAAGTTTCAAACATTAAAATTCAGGCCAGCTTAGCACATGTCTCCATTTTGACATAAATGTCCTGATCAATAATTTAAGCTGCAAACTGCAAATAAGCCAAACCTCAGTTCAACTGGAAGCTGGATCCCTGCTTGTCTACTCATTCTCACATACCTGTGGTACTGCACTGCTACCAAAAATCCCTTTGAGAATGGCCAGGCACCGGCCAACAATCACATCATCACTAATGTTCTCCATGATGCCAGCAGCTTCTCCTGCCACCAGGGCAATTAGTATTGGAGCTGAGGAAACAAAAGACAATTTACTCAGAAGTGTTTTCTTATAAGAACAAAGTCCTGTCAGGCCCTACTTTGTTCTTGGTACTGTAAATGTCAATGAGCCATGTAGTACCACACAGAGCTAGAAACAAGCTATTTTTTCTGAACTCTGTCCCCAGAAACTGACCAATGGGTACTCATCTGCTTATGACTTCCGAGAGTTAAAGGAACTAACATTTCTATATTTAGGTATAGAATTCATAGTCCTAGCCAAAGAAGTTGCTTCCACGGCAATGGCAACATCCCTTCTACCTAGCTGAGATCCTTCATACCTATCACTACCCTCAGTCAGCCATTTGGTATACTAGAAGCTTCCATGACAGTCCCAGAGCTACAAATTATACTAGAGTTAATAGAAAACCACACATACACAGAATCACGACCTCTGATAAAGCTGTGCCAATACCGGATATTGTAAAGAGACTATATAAGGAGATTTAATTCAGATTCTAGGCAACAGAAATGTGTGCCTTAAAGGCCTCTTCCAATACATTCAGCCCAAGCTGTGAAGGCTGAGCAAAGTGAGCCAGATAGTGAAAAGAGAAACGCAAACAGATGGGCTGAACAAAGAGCTGGGATCAGGGTACACTGGGAAGGTGGGAAGGGCTTTTGTGAGGGGCTTAGGTAAGAAATCTGTGTTTCCCTTTTGCTATGCAAAGCAATCAGCTAATGCAAAACTAACAGAAGCAGGGACACTAGTAATTACTAGCAAATGCTATGGGAGGTGACAATGGCCTGGATAAGGACACGGGTGATGGATAAGGAATGAAAGAGCAGGGAAGAATACCATGAAGCTGGCATTGACAGGACCAGATGGCCTGGGTGGAACCAGGGAAAAGGCATGGCATCACCTTGGTGTATGAATGCCTCTTCAAGTGGGGACGGAACGAGTGATAGTCAGAAAACTGCTCCTAAGCAGTGGCCTACAACTGCTGCACAGGAAACACCTGTTCTTCTCTCTTCTTGGAAGAGGGAATTAGTGCTTTAGTTAATCAACTGATGGTATGTTTCTATTGAAAGTATGGGAAAAAATTAAACCAGCAAGCAGTTACCTTTATATAGGTTCCAGAAGAGGAAGAGTTCGCCCCTGCTAGCAGTTGTACTCCCAACATGCCCAAACAAATTTACACTTGGATCCCAGAACACTCGGTCAAAACACAACACCACCTACCACAGGAAGGAAGCATATAAGTTGGCTTATAAGCATATAAGAGATAGCTTTCTGTTAGCATCGTATGTGTCCTTTAAGGTCTTACTTATACTTACTGACCGCTTTCAGTGTAAAAACAAGAATCCCCATTGCATTATGATGTGACTTGTGACCCTCAGAAGGCTTGAGGTTATAACAAGATTAAGTGTACTTGAATATTATATAATACAACCAGGCACTGGGTTATATGAACTGCCAGGCCTCAGGCCTGGAATCACAGTGGAGGGTGCAGGCAAACATGGCTGCATGGAGACCCCATTCCTCAGTGATGCCACTGGACACCAAACAGTAGGCTATAATGAGAGGAAGGAAAGCATGTCACCTTGTTAAGGTTGCCAAATCCCATCCTTTGAAC